AAAGGTTGAAATGCTATGCTTATGATAATGTATGTGTAGGTACTTTTCTTGTGAACTCTATGCCTGCTCTAGTATTATTTGATTCGGGTGCGAGTAGATCGTTTGTATCTCTAGCTTTTAGTCAGCACATCGGCATTAGTCGTGAGCCGTTAAGTCGGCCTTTGAGTGTTTCTATTGCGGCTGAGAGAGTGGTTTGTGCTACGGAGGTTCTTCGGGGATGTGTATTAGAGATCTTCGGGGTCGCGTTTCCGATTGATCTAATCCCTATTGCGATGGGGGATGTCTGTGTCATCGTAGGCATGGACTGGTTGAGCCGATTCAGCGCTGTCATCGACTGCGAGCGTCAGCTGGTGACTATACGAGACCCTAGTGGGGGAGTTCTTACGGTATACGGCGAGGGTACCCGTTCGAAATCAGCTTTTTGTTCGGCCGCTAGGGCGAGGCAATGCCTACAGCAGGGATGTAACGCTTTTGTGGCGTATGTGATGGACACGCGGGAGAGTTCCGAGAGACCGAAGACATTGGAGGAGGTTCCAGTGGTGCGCGAGTTTCCAGATGTTTTCCCCGAGGATTTGCCGGGAATACCTCCTGCGAGGCAAGTAGAGTTTGGTATCGATCTAGTTCCAGGGGCTGCGCCTATTGCGAAGGTGCCTTATCGTCTTGCACCTCCAGAGATGCAAGAATTATCCTCACAACTTCAAGAGTTGTTGGGGAAAGGATTTATTCGGCCGAGTAGCTCGCCATGGGGAGCACCGATTTTGTTCGTCAAGAAGAAGGATGGTTCACACCGGATGTGTATCGATTACCGGGAGTTGAACAAGGTGACAGTTAAGAACCGCTACCCGTTACCGAGGATCGATGATCTATTCGATCAGTTGCAAGGGGCATCTTGGTTTTCCAAGATCGATTTGAGATCAGGGTACCATCAGGTAAGAGTGCGAGATGAGGACGTCCAGAAGACAGCTTTCAGGACGCGGTACGGGCATTACGAGTTCGTGGTGATGCCTTTTGGGCTCACCAATGCTCCAGCGGTGTTCATGGATCTCATGAACAGGGTATGCAGGCCGATGCTGGATCGGTCTGTAATTGTGTTCATCGACGACATTCTGGTGTATTCGCGGTCTAGGGAGCAGCATGAGGGACACTTGAGGGAGGTCCTTGAGGTACTGAGGTCGGAGAAGTTATATGCAAAATTCTCCAAATGTGACTTCTGGTTACGGGAAGTGCAATTTCTGGGACACGTTGTAAATCAGGCAGGGATATTAGTCGATCCGGCCAAGGTGGAAGCGGTGATGAGATGGGAGGCACCGAAGTCACCTTCGGAGATCAGGAGTTTCCTTGGGTTGGCGGGGTACTATCGAAGGTTCATTAGGGACTTCTCCAAGATCGCGGTGCCACTTACCAAATTGACCCGAAAGGGTGTTACATTCTCATGGGGACCCCGAGCAGCAGACTTCCTTCGAGACACTTCGCCAGAAACTGTGCGAAGCACCAGTGTTAGCTCTTCCGGAAGGGATGGAGGACTTTGTCGTATATTGTGACGCATCGATTTCAGGATTGGGTGCGGTGTTGATGCAGAGAGGCCATGTGATAGCCTATGCATCGAGGCAGCTGAAGCCTCACGAAGCGAGATATCCCACGCATGACCTAGAGTTGGGGGCAGTAGTGTTCGCCCTCAAAATTTGGCGTCACTACTTGTACGGGGTTCGTTGTACCATATACACGGACCATAAGAGTTTGAAGTATTTGATGGATCAACCTAACCTAAACATGCGTCAGAGGAGATGGTTAGACGTGGTTAAGGATTATGACTGTGAGATCCTATACCACCCAGGCAAGGCTAATGTGGTAGCCGACGCATTGAGTCGTAGGACGGAGAGTACTCCATTGCGGGAGGTATGTTTGAGAATGACGGTGATGACTCCGGTATTAGATACTATCCGTGGGGCACAGGCTGAGGTTGTGAAGTCGGGGATACAGAAGCAGGAGCGGGTCGTCGGGTTGATTTCAGAGTTCGTTACGGATGGACGGGGACTTCTGACATTTCAGGGTCGGATTTTTGGGTGCCATTCGTGGGCGGTACGCGTGTTATTTTGATGGAGGAGGCACACAGATCGAAATTCTCGATCCATCCCGGTGCTACGAAAATGTATCTGGATTTGAAAAAGGAGTACTGGTGGCCTTGCATGAAGAGAGATGTTGCTTGGTTTGTGGAGAGGTGTTTGACCTGTCGGAAAGTTAAGGCTGAACACCAGAGACCGCACGGTAAGTTGCAACCCTTGGAGATCCCCTGAGTGGAAGTGGGATCAGATCACGATGGATTTCATCACCAAATTGCCGAAAACTGCCAGGGGAGTCGATGCGATTTGGGTGATTGTGGATAGGTTAACAAAGAGTGCACATTTCCTTGCCATTAGTGAAAGTTCATCAGCAGAGAAGTTGGCGGAGTTGTACGTGAGAGAGATAGTATCTCGGCATGGAGTGCCGACCTCGATTGTTTCGGATCGCGATGTACGTTTCACTTCCAGGTTCTGGAAGAAATTTCATGAGGAGTTGGGTACTAAGCTGCATTTTAGTACCGCATACCATCCCCAGACCGACGGTCAGAGCGAGCGGACGATTCAGACGTTGGAAGACATGCTTAGAGCATGTGTGTTGGACTTCGGGGGTAGCTGGGACGCGCATCTGCCGTTGGTTGAGTTTTCCTACAACAACAGCCATCATTCGAGCATTGGTATGCCACCTTTTGAGTTGTTGTATGGTAGGAGGTGTCGGACTCCTATTTGCTGGGGAGAAGTGGGACAGAGAGTGATGGGCAGTACAGAGATTGTACTTCAGACGACCGAGCAGATTCAGCGAGTGAGGCAGAGGTTATTGACCGCCCAGAGCCGACAGAAAAGTTACGCGGACAGACGCCGGTCCGAGCTCGAATTCCAGGTCGGTGACTTCGTTCTCCTAAAGGTTTCTCCTTGGAAAGGGGTAATTCGGTTCAGGAAGAGGGGCAAATTGGGGCCCCGGTTCATAGGTCCATTTCGGGTAATTGCAAGGGTAGGTCGGGTAGCTTATCGGTTGGAGTTACCGGTGGAGCTGAGTCAGATTCACAATACCTTCCACGTATCGCAGTTGAGGAAGTGTATAGCCGATGAGGCAGCAGTGGTTCCATTAGGAGACATTCAGGTGGATGCGGGCTTGAATTACGCCGAGAGACCAGTAGCTATCAGGGATCGGAAGATCAAGGTTCTACGGAACAAGGAGATACCTCTGGTGTTGGTTCAGTGGCAACATCGGAAAGGATCGGAGATGACTTGGGAGCCGGAAAGAGAAATGCGGGAGCAACATCCGGAGTTATTCGCAGATTGAGAGACTTCGAGGGCGAAGTCTAGTTCTAGTGGGGGAGAGTTGTAACAGCCCGGAATTTCAGGTATTTAATTAAATTATTTTTGGGCATACATGAAGGGGGACTCGGCGAGTAGGTGCATGACTCGCCGAGTAGGACTATAGCCTTGGTCGCAGTCGCAGATACGCGACTGGACTCGACGAGTCCAAATAAGGACTCGGCGAGTCGACGCCGTTTCAGCTGAACCCTAGCCGTTTCATTCTGATCGTATATAACGATCTTATGGCCGTCATGTCGCGTCTTTTGGCCGGTTGAAGACAGTTTGGGTGTGTGTGAACGTCAGAAGCAAGAGAGAAGACTTGGAGAGGATTGAAGAAGGGTTAGACAAGAAGAAGTAAGTTGGTGATCAAGAGAACCGGGTTCTGGAGGATTGGAGACACAGGGAAAACGTTTCCAGGTAATATTCGGATCGAAATCTGTGTCGTTTATGTTGTATACGAGTTTAAGGTTTAGGAAACCCATTTAAAGATTTGTTAGATTATATTGTGGTTATAAGTGTCAAATACCCCTGTATTATTATATGTGAAAGACCAGGAAGCCCTATATCTATGTACTTCGGTATCATGCGAAATACAGGAGCAGCGGGTTGATTGCATGGCGAGGACTCGCCGAGTCCAATGATCAGACTCGGCGAGTAGCTTGAAGATTCACTAGAACTCGCCGAGTTGTTCTTCAGACTCGGCGAGTAGTTTAAAGGTTCACTAGGACTCGCCGAGTTGTTCTTCAGACTCGGCGAGTAGTTGAAGATCTACTAGACTCGCGAGTTGTTCTTCGGACTCGGCGAGTGGTGTCAGGGTGTCTATACTCGTCGAGTTACCCTTTGCACTCGACGAGTCTGGTCAAGATTGATCGTTGACTCGTATATAACATAGTAGGGTCAGTTGTCCTGTTTGATAAGATCATTAACACAGGATGTGGTATTATAGGGAATCTGCGGGCTAGCGGATCGTGTGCGAGTAGCTCGAAGCGTTTATAGAGTTCATATTACGAGGTGAGTCTTCTCACTATACTACACCCGGAAGGGTTTGACTGTTGGACCGGAAGGTCGTGTGTGTTTAATTCATGCTAAGTTTAGAGGGCAAATGTTTACCATGTGAAATGTGCTTATATGTGATGTATGTTTATACGGGCCGGAAGGCGAGACATTATGTGATAGAAAGGTTGGTGTGATGTATGATTTATGTGTTATGTGTATCACGTTGTATGTGTTATGTTTATACTATCATGGGCCGGAAGGCAAAATTACTATGGGCCGGAAGGCAATCTATTATGGGCCGGAAGGCGAAATACATTATGGGCCGGAAGGCGATTATATTATGGGCCGGAAGGCAATGTTATGTGGACCGAATGGTCCGGGCCGGAAGGCGTATGTGGGTAAGTCGTATACTGGGGAACTCACTAAGCATTTATGCTTACCAGTTGTGTTTATGTTTTTTTACAGGTTCTAGTGATGACCGTGGAAAGGCGCCGGCATGACCCGTACACACTGCTACTGTTGAAGATCCTGGAGTTTTACTATTTATGTTTCGAAATAACTTGGAATAAACCCTTTTGTCGAATAATGATGTTTTATTTTAAAGAAAAGTTTACTTGAAAATTTGAGATGTTACAGAAGACCTCCGACTCCTTCATCGACGCCAGTTCTCTTCCACCTCTTTCTCCTCTAGCTCCGAACATGTCAGCAATGTCACCGCCGTCGTCATCTTCGCCTCCATCTTTGGCTGCTTCGTCGGTGCTGTCTTTGCCTCCGACATCTTCTGCAGGTAACTTTTCTTTTTCTCTTGTAATTCAATTTTAATGCTTGAAAGTATTAAAACCCGGATGGTACAAACTCAAGAATCCATGAAAAAGAGCATGAAGCTCTTGTATGCAGAACTGTGCTTGTACCTTGGATTGGGGAAAAGGGAATTGAGGCGAAAATGAGATCGAATGGAGGAAGATGACAAATGGGTTTTGGCTGAAAAATTCGTTTCAGATTGGAGTTCCAATTTTCATTCATCATCTGTTAAATCTGTTAAGCAGATGGTCGATCAACAATTGGTGATGACAATGATAATAATTCATCTCAGGACTCTTTTTCTTCATTATTGTTTAGTGGTTTGAAGAAACTCATGAGATTTTTAGATGGTAAATGATGGAAAATAATTAATAGTTCTTTGCAATTTAAAGAATTTCTTGATGTTCACCGTGTTAATTGAGTTATAGTTTTTACATTATGCATTCCCGAGTTCAAAGAAATTATGATTGTGCATACAACTATATAGGTATGATGTTCATGCTGTCATAGAGCTTGTTCATTTGGTTTATCATTATACATTCTATTATAGATTCACAAAATGAAAAATGTCAAAGAGCTGTCATTACGCTTTCATCATAAGAAATCAACTGAGTTGTGAATTGGATATGTATTTAATTTTGTTTTATTTTTGGTTTGGATTTTATAAGGTGTTTATTTTTTTTAAATAAAAATATTGAATTTAACAATAGATAATACAAAAGGGTAAAATTGTCTTTTTCATTATTCAGCACAACATTTCAGAAGATCCAACCAAACAACATGTTAAGAATTCAGATCTTAAAAATTCAGACCTTCTTAGAAATTCAGACCTCTTAAAAATTCAGATCTTAAAAATTCAGATACCGCCAAACAGCCCCTTAGACTACCCCTAGCTCAATAGGAAAGGGGAGGCGTCATTTAGGGTTTAACAATTTGAAAAAAAAAAAAAAACAAAAAAAAAACAAAAAACAACGGAGGGAGGGAGGGAAAGGAGGTAAACGAAATTTTGGAAAAAAAAATAGTATCTTTTAAAAAGAAAAATAGAAAGATATGAGCATTAAAAATTAAGTGTCACTAAAGAATATAATATAATGGCACAAAATAACTGTGTCGCTAAATATCATTTTGTTTGTAGTGACTTCTCATAGGTTCGGAAGCGTAAAGATTTAATTTTTACGGTTTATAATAAAGTCAAATCCAAAACACGGAACCGATTTATTACTTGTTACTTATTACCAATTCATAAGAACAATTATGTATTTTATAATTGATTAACTGGAATGATAAAACCCTAGCTAGGTGATCAAACTAATAATAATCAAAATCAAACATTCATTAAGAACAAAACTAAAGAATCTAGATAGAAATACAAAACAAAAACCATATCTAATGATCAATCACATGAAAGTACTCATCTTTGCATAATTGGAAACTAGGTTTTAGCGGGAGGATGATTTAGACTCTCTAGGACATTCTACGCACATGTTTATTAGATTTCGGTGGCAGTTAGGATACGTATCTTCCGTTAGCGGAATTTCCGTATAACAACAGTTACCACACTAGCATAGATCCCTTCAAGATGTTATGTGGGAGAAAGTGTAGGATCCTAATCCGTTGGGGCGAGATTGGTCAGAGGGTCATGAGGAGTATTAAGGTAGTACTCAAGACTACTGAGAGGATCCAGCATGTCCGGAGCAGGCTCCAGATTGCTTAAAGTCGGCAGAAAATCTATGCCGACAAGCACCGTTCAGACTTGGAGTTTCAAGTGGGATACATGGTTTTCTTGAAGGTGTCACCTTTAAAAGGTGTCATCCGGTTCAGGAAGCGGGGCAAGATGGGCCCCAGGTACATCGTTCCTTTCAGGGTTATAGCCCGGGTAGGCAAGGTGGCGTATCGATTGGACCTTCCAGCAGAGCTCAGCCATATCCACAACACTTTTCATGTTTCCCAGCCGTGGAAGTGCTTAGTGGATGACTCTGTAGTTGTGCCTTTAGAGAGATATACAGGTTGATGACAGCTTGAACTACATCGAGAGACAAGTATCTATTCTCGACAAGAAGATGAAGGAGTTGAGGAACAAGAGGGTTGAGCTGGTGAAGGTGCAGTGACAACACCGTAAGGGTTCAGAGTGGACTTGGGAGCCAAAGGAGGAGATAAGGGAGAACTACTCGGAGTTATTTCCCGATGCAGCAGACTTTGAGGACGAAGTCTAAGACAAGTGGGGGAGAATCGTAACACCTGGTTCGTAGTACGCATTTAATTATAATTTATTCATTTTTGTAGAGCAACTCGACGAGTTATGAGCCCCAAACTCGTCGAGTAGAAATAAGAAGAGACACGGGATTTTAAGTAACCTACTCGACGAGTTGAGAGCCTCAACTCGATGAATAGGGTTGCCATAGTGAAAACCTAATTTCGGGGTTTTCCACCCTATTTAAGCATCCTAATCCCCACTTGGTGGACTTATTTCCAGTCAACATGCCCCAAACCCTATATTCAGAAACCCTAATGCATTTGTCAGCTTGTGAGCTATTTTTGTAACGCCTGTGTTTCTGGGCTTGCCATTTTTAGCAATGTAATAGTCTAGGTTAACCTTTGTAACTCAACTTGAAATAATAAGAATGTATTATTTGTGAATTATGTGAATTATGTGATTTATGTGTTTATTTTCTTGATTTTTATAATTTAATGAATTAAGAATGAAATAAGCGTCAAAATTAAAGTGTGAGATACGCCCGATATCTTTGCATAAAGTTGTAGTGGTCGAAACAAGGATTTCGGAGATATAAGGAATGCCAAAATCCGAGTTATAACGAAGAAGTTATGACCTGTCGAAGTTTCGCGACAGAACCGACACGACGCCGAGTGACGTAAAATATGAATTTAAGATAGAACGATATTTAGCCTTAGCGATCTAAACGAAAGTCGTAGATTTCGTTAAACCGAGAGCGTGCATAAAAGGAACGCCCAAATCTGACTTCGTATGAGGAAGTTATGATTTTCTGAAGTTTCGACGTGGCAGTATGCAGCCCGAATACTCGATTTGAGATCGAGCGGTTTTTAGCCGAAACAATCTAAATGAGAATCGAAGATCTCATTGTTAGTAGCGAAACGATGAAAAGTTAGGCGAGAACGGACGTCAGACGAAGAAGTTATGAATTTATAACGAAGTTTTTCTGTCCCGGCCTTCTAAAAATAAATAATAAAAATAAAAGTCAAAATTAGCCGACGGAGTCTAAATGAAAGTTGTAGAGTACGGTCTGACCTTCGCGTGGATATAAAGAACGTCGAAAACGGAGCTCGTATGCGAAAGTTACGCAATTTAGAAGTTTGACAAGTCAATTACGCCCCGCGTAATTTGAGTACGCCCCGCGTACTCAGTCGGTTGCAACTTGTCTGACCAATACTCGAGTGCCACCAGTCGACGCACGCAGTGACGTCAAAGTACGCCCCGCGTAACCCGAGTACGCCCCGCGTAATCCCAGACCCAGCAGCCTATAAATAGAACTCGAATTCAGCCATTTTCTCTTGTTCAAACTCTTCTTTCTCTCTAAGTTTTGCCTCGTTTTGCGTGCCGTTTATACCCCGAAGCCCCGGTAATATTCTCGAGCCCCGAAGCAAGATCCGAAGCCCCGAGAATCCCGAAGAGCGTTATTCCCGAGCCGAAACGCTGCCCGCGAGGAGCCCGGTTTTGTGAAGATCTTCCAGATCTACGGAGAAACACCTCTTCTGCAAGCCGTAGTGCTGCCCGATCATCTTCTGATCAGTGAGTGTGTAGTTACTTTCATTCCAACACAATATTATGAAGTATTTCCTATAAAATACGTGTTATGTGTATATATTTGGTTGTTATACGTGTGAGTGTATATTCACTCTCTTCTATCTTATAGATCTGAAGTATTCTCTATGAAATACGTGTTATGTGTGTATGCCTCATCTGTTATGTGAAAAATGTTTTGATTGAGCATGCTATACAGGTTTTGAAACTACGTATAAAAATGTATATTTTATCTACTAATATGTTGGGTAGAATATGGGTAGATAGTTGGTGTGTAATAAACAGATGAGAGGCCTCGATGTTGTTTTGATCCAGTCATCTAGCGGAATTTAGATGACGACCACGGACTTTTCTAGATAGTCCAGTGGAACGCTAGCAGGCTCATAACCTGTAGGTGTTAATGAACTTGGGTGTTCATTCGCTGTATTCCATCCCCCCATGGTTGCCTTATTTGACTTATATTGCTGAGGAACCCCCGAAGCATGTGTAGTCGCCCCGATGAAATATTCTTAGACTAGGTCCCTTGTGTTAGTTATTTTAGGGACATAAAGTGAGAATAACGGGAATGGGTAACTGGGTTATTGTTGGTTGATAATAATTAATTTAATTATTTATTGTGGGTTGAAAACCCTATATGCTCACCAGGCTCCCAAGCCTGACCCACTCAGTTGATTTATTTTACAGGAAGTGGCGCAAGAGCTTAAGATGGGCGAACATCAAGTTGTTTTGTTTACAAGTCTGTATATGTATATATTTGTTGAAAGACTTGTAATGCTATCGTTTATGCTTTATGATCTGTATCGGAACATGACATCCCGACTTTTGATTATGAAATGAAATCATATTTCTTTATGAAATGTTTTGATAAATATCTATTTTATCATGTTTTGTTTTTGGGAACAAATTCCGCATCTCTTTTAAAATTAAAAGGATTTACTCTGAAAATTATTTTAAAAAGCATAAATGAAATCGGTCTTTTCGGGCCGAGATTTTGGGGATGTCACAGTTGGTATCAGAGCATTAGTTTAAGCGAACTAGGAATTTGTAGGATTTCTAGACTTAAACTTAGAATGCTAAGTGGAATTTTGAGATGTGTGTCTGTTATGTTTTAGACACGAGCACTAGTTTATTTTAGGAAAGTTGCCTAAAATGCTTTATGTGCTAAATGTTATATGTTGCCATATATGATATTATTTGTTCGGATCTATGGTCTGTTGCCGACCGGATCTAGAAACCTTATGTGTGTAGGATTCTAAGCGTACGTCTACGATATTAGAACTAGCATGTAAACGTTTCGGAGTGATAAGGATGATTTGAATATCTATCGTGAATAAGGATCTAATTTCACCTTATTCGGTGTGTAGATCAAAAATGGTGAGAACAAGAAGTGGAGTTGGAAATGCTGATGAAAATAGGAATCAACCACCAGTGATTGAACAAAGACCTGTTGTAGCAGCAGCACCTGAGCCAATAACCATGGCTGGTGTGCAATTGATGATTCAGACGATGTTGGATCGTCAGATGGAGGAAACTAGACGGTTGCTTCAACAAAATCGTGAAGAACTGTCGATTCGTGTGGA